ACTTGGGAAGCAAAGGCAGGAGACTCGCTTGAGCCCAGGAGTTGGAGGTTGATGTGAGCTGTGATGCCATGGCACTCTACCCAGGGGGACAGCTTGAGGTTCTGTCTCAAAAAAACATAAACAAATAAAAAAAGAAATTGTGAAAGTGTATTGTCAAAGTTGTAGGAAACTTAGACCCTGTTAATGTTTTTTTTTTTTTTTTGCAGTATTGGTCAGGGCCGGGTTTGAACCCCCCACCTCTGGTATATGGAGGTGGCACCCTACTCCTTTGAGACAGGTGCCACCCAAGACCGTGTTAATGCTAAAGAGAAAACCCATTGCCTCTTTCAAAGAGAACGATAACTGATCATTAGCCTTCAACTTAACAGAACAGTTTCATGCAATACTTCAAAAGGAAAATATATATTATTCAATTGCTTTGTGTAAATCAACTGATACTACTGACTTGGCACAGGGCTTAGACTTCACTCTGCTTTTTTTTTTTGCGGTTTTTGGCAGTGCCAGGTTTGAACCCGCCACCTCCTGTATATGGGGCCAGTGCACTACTCCTTGAGCCACAGGTGCCACCACTTCACTCTACTTTTAACAAGATTTTCTTTGCCATGGTCTTTGGACACTCTTGTGAACAGGAAACAGGGAATAGACACCTTCAATAACTTTCGAGATAAATGTGAAGTTGCACAAAATTTGGCAACATTAATGAGTGTACGTACAGACAACACACCTTCCATGACAGGAAAACATGAGGGTTTATTGCATAGATTTATAAGTATATAAAAGTATATACTTATAAAAGGTATATAAAGGTATATACTTATTTAAAAGTATAAACACTCTCTTTTCATTGTCTCTTGGTCAGTAAAATCTCTGTGCTAAAGCTACCATTTTAGATGACACTTTGCAACAAGTTATAACTATTGTTACCTGTATTTGTGCAATTGCAACACAGCATCGTCAACTTTGTAATATGCTCAAGTTGAAAGATGAGATATTCAGTGTAGTATTTGCCATATTATTCTAAAGTGCACGTGTTGGCTATTGTAAGGATAGATGGCAGCCAAAATTTTATCTCCATGAGAACAAATAGTTAAATTTTATGAAGAACAAAATCAGTAATGTGAATTTTTAAAAGGAGATTTGTATAGGAATGCAGGATTTCTGTCAAAATGACTTGAGTATTTCTTTGCAATGTACAACTATCCATGGTATATGGCAAAAAATCCAAACATTTTTTAAAAAGCTATCTTTTTTTCAAAATGCTACTTCCAAAGGGAATTCTGGATGCACTTTTTATCCAGTTACTAAAGGTCATTGATAAATTGAATGATATACGCTATTATAGACCTATTAATTGGAGAATTACAATGAAAGTTTCAGTGGCTGAGTGTGGTGGCTCATGTCTGTAATCCTAGAATCTGGGAGACTAAGGTGGGTGGATCCCTTGAGCTCAGGAGTTTGAGATCAGCCTGAGCAAGAGTGAGACCCCCGTCTCTACTAAAAATAGAAAGACAAGCTGGGTGTTGTGGTAGGTGCCTTAGTCTCAGCTATTTGGGAGGCTGAAGCAAGAGGATTGCTTGAGCCCAAGAGTTTGAGGTTGCTCTGAGCTAAGATGATGCCATAGCATTCTACCCAGGGTGACAGAGTGAGACTGTGTCAAAACAAAAACAAACAAGCAAAAAAAAACCAAGACAGTTTCACTGACTTTGAGAATCATGGCATTGATACCAGATTTTTGATACTGAATTTCCAGGCTCTTGGTCTTGGCGGTTCAAAGAATGAAGCGATGGACCACAGGATAGGTTCTATTCAACAGGTATAAGTGTTACAGCTCTTATAACAAGCCAAATCTCCTTGTAGAGTAGGATTAGCAGTAAGATAGGTTTTATAATCCGAGTGTTACAGCTCTTATAAAGGGGTGAACCTCTTTGCAAGTGTTTACAGCTCTTATAAAGGGGCAAATCTCATACAAGTGTTACAGAGCCAAACCTCTTTGCTCTTCTGCTCTTTCTCCTGAGATCTGTGCTTGGGTTCATTACTTAGGGGCTTATATAGGGGCAATTGTCCAATGAGCTTCGGGTCTTGAAAATAGACCAATAGTGAGTAGGTTTTGAAAATGGACCAATCAGGGATGCATTGGAGGAATTGCCAGAAGCCTTTGTGAGGAGAGAACACAGCACTTATGTCCGGTTCTTTTGGCTACTGGATCCTCTCTTGGAGGAGGGAAGCTCCCCCCTTGCCTGTGCTCCAGCTTGCTGGTTCCTATGCCGGCTGTCGCCAACACCACCAAGACGGAGGCAGCAGGTCCTCCAGCCCTACTTGGCTGAGCTGGCTGGGGCACCACTTGTCCGGTATCAGCATCACCCTCAAACTAAGATTTCAGACTCAACTAGTTGATATCACCAAGGCACCTAAAGAACTACAGACAGAATTGACTAAGCTCTCAGCAGATGACATTTTGAAGGCAATGTTTGATGCTGAGAAAGAGCCAACGGAAACATGGAAAAATGTAGTAAAAAACCCACGTCTCTGCAACATGCCTGAAAAACACTTTCTTGCTTTTCAACCACTTATTGCTGAGAATCTACATTCTCCTACCGAACCCCAATCAGGATGCCTTGAAGGTCACACATGACTGATAGCCACATAGAGGATCAACTGAAACTGTGGCCCTCCATATGTTGCCACCAAGTATCCCAATGCTTTCCAACCCAAAGCAGACACAACCAAGTCATTAAAAGGTTAGTTAAATTGAACATTTACAAAAAGTTTTTGTTTTTTGAAATGATTATGTAGTAGTTAGATTTTTACAAAATAATGTACATTTTAAGTATATCTATCTGGTTGAAGTTTCTCAAATGCAGCCTTATTTGATTACGGCTAAATCAATGTGGCCTTCCATCACGAAAATATCCCTCACCCCTGCCCTTACCCCTCCTATTCCAAATTTCCTGGTAAGGTCAGAGGAATGATTTCCTTTCGCAACATTTATTTTTAATAGCTAGAGGCAGAGAGAATGCGAGTTCATAGTGATATTACTTCATTCTGTAATATTGCCTCATGAGGTCAGCCTTCCATGTCAGCAACCAAAATGAAACATACCACAGAAATAAATCAAAAGGAATCAAGTGGAACATGGAAAGGGCTGTTTTCATAAGTGTATCTGATAATCTGTTAACAACATGGGCATCATTTGCCCACTGCAGATGTGCCGGGCAGAACAGCTGGGCTCGTCAGGGGCGTCAAGTCCATGTAAGGGAGAGTCCGAGTGTGGGGTGGGACATGCAGTCGTGGAATGGACTCTGATGGCACATCTGATGTGTGCGTACGGGGAACAGAGGCGAGACAATGTAGAGATGAATTACTATAGCTGCTCATGTAAGACTCTCCATTTTGACAGTTAACACAGAATGGACTCACAGACGGGAAAAGTTGCATTTCAATTCAGTTGGTACAATAATTATGCAATAGGTCTAAAGCATCAAAAGAATTGAAGGTTGATTTTGTCGATTTTCTTTTTCTTTCTTTCTTTCTTTCTTTCTTTTTTTTTTTTTTTTTTGAGACAGAGTCTCACTTTGTGCCCTAAGTATAGTGCCGTGGTGTCATGGCTCACAGCAACTTCAAACTCATGGGCTCAAGCAGTCCTCTTGCCTCAGCTTCCTATGTAGCTGGGACTACAAGTGCCTGCCACAACGTCTGGCTAGTTTTTCCATTTTTAGTAGAGACAGTGTCTTTTGCTCAGGCTGGTCCTGAACTCCTGAGCTCAAGCAATTCACCCACCTCCGGCTCCCAAAGTGCTAGGATTACAGGTGTGAGCTCATTTTGTCAATATTCTAAATGAGCCAAACTAACATCAGGCAGAAACATCCTTGCTACACACCTCAGTTCATTTATCAAATGATAAATCTATGAACAGTCTGAAAGCATTAGGGGCACCAGTCACTGCTTCCAATAAACTCACAGGACTATTGCTCAGAAAGGGAGCAGATACGATATGCATGCATAGTATCATAAGTTGGAATTCAGTTTTAAAGAATTAGAGACTCCATTTAACACTTATACACAGTTCAACCAATGGTTTAACTAACATTGACAGCACCCTGCTATGAGCCTGGAACTGGGTCAGTGGGAACAGACAGGCATGATTATTCACTGAAACTTTCCATGCAGTCTGACCCATGTTTCTCCTGCGCTTAGGTTTCCTAGCTGTCTCATGAGTACGAGTTTTGTCTCTTTGTCCCTTAACCCCTTATTAGTCCACTTTGCAGACCTGCACTTTTGGCCAAATCCTCTGTAACTTCCCCAGAATTCTGGTCAGTCCAACACGCTAAGCAAATGCTTGGTAATACGTATTTGAAAGAGTAAATGGATTTTCATTGAAGTTGCTGGCATAATCCAAACATATAAAATTCCATATTGTTTCTGGTGAACAGGGAAAGAGGGTAGGATCTGAAGAGAGATTGAAACTGGAATCTAAAAAACCAATTGATTTTCTTTTTGGAAAAGTTGATACTGCCTTAAAATTCTCATCTTTAGTATATTTATAATAAATGATGTTAAAGAAATACCCAAACAAATAAGAAACCAAGCATTGTGTAAATATCTCTGGCTGGACCTTTACTTGGAAAGTAAAATAGACTTGTCCTGACAAAATTTCACAACCAGGTGCCCACCTCATCTGAGGGAAAATTTAAGTAGATAACCAATAAATTACTTTTTCTTGGCTTGGAATTTTTCCAGCATAAATATGCAGGATATGGTCAATTTTATTATAAGAAATTCTTATGGCTCGGTGCCTGTGGCTCAAGTGGCTAAGGCGCCAGCCACATACACCTAAGGTGGCGGGTTCAAATCCAGCCCAGAACCTGCCAAACAACAAGGATGGCTGCAACCGAAAAAAAATAGCCAGGCATTGTGGTGGGTGCCTGTGGTCCCAGCAACTTGGGAGATGGAGGCAGGAGACTCACTTGAGCCCAGGAGTTGGAGGTTGCTATGAGCTATGCCCAGCAACTATGCCCACAGCACTCTACCCAGGGGGACAGCTTGAGGCTCTGTCTCAAAAAAAAAAGAAAAAAAAAATTCTTACCATTCATGTAGATTTCTTACCATTAGAAATAACAGGCTCGGTGCCTGTGGCTCAACCGGCTAAGGCGCCAGCCACGTACACCTGAGGTGGCGGGTTCGAATCCCCAGCCCGGACCCGCCAAAACAACAATGACGGCTGCAACCAAAAAATAGCCGGGCGTTGTGGCGG